CAGTGTAATTATTAAAATGGGCAAGTGCACTATTTTTGTTTGTCAACTGTGAGATTTGTAGAAACGTATCTTTGTACCACATCCCATGTAAGTTGGTCAAAATATGACCGAGTAATTGATCAAAACCTCCCAAATTATGTTTTTTGTATTCAATCTGTTGTGTACTCGATAATTTATATATATATTTGTGCCAATTTTCATTTTGGTTGCTGTAAATAAGATTTTACAGGAGCCCAAAATATATATTTTTGGGTTATTTCACCTTTGACCTCATACAATCCTATAAAAGGCCTAAATAATAACAATAAAAATTTGGACGTAATGCAACAAGGTACAACCCTACCAAGTTTCAAGTCAATCCACTGAGAAATGAAAGAGTGGCGGTCGATTGAAAAGTGTTTGGAAGAAGAATATACAGTTGAAAAACAATACGTTTCACCGCGGAGACACAATTATAATACTTGTAGAAGTAATAAAGGTCAAACAAGCATGCAATAAATGTGGCCAGGTATCCATAGATGATGTTCATAAAAACACTAACTAGTAATGCATGGGTAGCGAATAGCAATAAATGCTACTTAAAACTGACAAATGGAAACATATGAAAGAAAATCTCACACTATGATAAAATTATTATATGTTTTATTCATCTACATTGAAACTGTAAATAGTTTGGGTAACTGGAGGGAAGGACGTCATGAAAAATCACACGCAAACCTAATTTATCAGTATTGTTGGCAGCCCCACGTGACAAACATGCTGATAACGCCTTGCAGTTAGTTGTTATTAATTAAACTGACAGTTAGTTGTTAATTAAAAGTTACAGAATACTGAAAGCCAAGCGCAGAAACAGCTAGAAGAACCACATCAAAGGGGCTTTCTTATAATCAAGCTTTTTACATGTTTTTAATTAATTGTTGGAAAAAAATATACATCTCAAACTGACATTGACTTCAATACTGAAATACGTGTTAGAAACCACTGGAAATGTGGAATTCAGTGCATACAAAACGAAGAAGATATAAGGAATTGTTCTATTTAGTAGCTCGAATTATAGGTGGAGAACAGCGTCTGTTTGTTCTATTGAAAAATCACACACGGGAAATCGAACCCCCGATTTTACAAGTCTGTAAACTTACTGTTGGCTCACAGTAGTTCTGTCAATTATGTGCTGTGTATGTCGAATCTGACCTCCCGATGGTTCATTCAGAAACTCTGAGTGTTTATAACGCTATAAATTGGGTACAACAAACTGTATTCGCTGATCTATAACAGACAGAACTACTACGTCTTGAGTAATACCACAAAATAAACTGTACTCGCTGATCTTGAAGTGACAAAACTATTATGTCTTGAGTACTAACACAAAACAAACTGTACTCGCTGATCCTGAAGTGACAAAACTACTATGTCTTGAGTAATACCACAAAACAAACTGTACTCGCTGATCTATAACAGACAGAACTACTGCGTCTTGAGTAATACCACAAAACAAACTGTACTCGCTGATCTTGAAGTGACAAAACTACTATTTCTTGAGTAATACCACAAAACAAACTGTACTCGCTGATCTATAACAGACAGAACTACTACGTCTTGAGTAATACCACAAAACAAACAGTACTCGCTGATCTTGAAGTGACAAAACTACTATGTCTTGAGTAATACCACAAAACAAACTGTACTCGCTGATCTATAACAGACAGAACTACTACGTCTTGAGTAATACCACAAAACAAACTGTACTCGCTGATCTATAACAGACAGAACTACTACGTCTTGGGTAATATATAAAAAAATGCTGAATTAGTAAACGCGGACACATTAAAAAAAATTCACCAGCATTATTCATACTAAGAGAAGGGAATACAGGGTGTCCCAAAAGTCGGGACCCATAGGAAAATATACATTATATTATTAAAGTTAAAGAAACACATTTCTAATGTCAGTTGTGCATGTTTCAGGAGAGAATATACCTTGCTGGCACAGCATACCAAAAATTGATATGTATATGGCTGTTCATGGCATGCAATTTGAATAATAAATAAATTAAGAATACATTATATATATTTATCCTTATGGGTCCAGACTTATGGGACAACCTGTAAATATAAACTTTCTGGAAATATTATTTTATAAAAAAAAAATTGTCAGTGGCAATTAGTTTTCCAGAAATAAAAAAATAATAGAATCTTCTTCTGTGGTACAATATTATTGAAGTAATCATTCAGTGAAGTAAACTCATATGCAAATTGTAAAAAGGGCCTCATATTCTATTATATGAGTTGGAATATTATCAAACAGTCATATTCTGTTGAGGTGTTGCAACATTCTGGTATAAATGTGTGGTTTTTTCCTCTACCATGGTAAAAATGTGGTTTTTTCCTCTACCATGGTATAAATGTGTGATTTTTCCTCTACCATGGTATAAATGTGTGGTTTTTTCCCTCTACCATGGTATAAATGTGTGGTTTTTTTCCTCTACCAAGCAACGTAAGAGGAGAAAAAAGAAAAGAGTGGATTTTGACCTATTGCTTACGGCGACAATCTTCAATCAAAGAACCAATAACAGATGCAGTTACGTCTGACTTGAATAACTTGACTGTTTAAAACTAGTGTTTATTGCTGTTACGTCTGACTTGACTGTTTAAAACTAGTGTTTATTGCAGTTACGTTTGACTTGAATAACTTGACTGTTTAAAACTAGTGTTTATTGCTGTTACGTCTGACTTGACTGTTTAAAACTAGTGTTTATTGCAGTTACGTCTGACTTGAATAACTTGACTGTTTAAAACTAGTGTTTATTGCTGTTACGTCTGACTTGACTGTTTAAAACTAGTGTTTATTCTCTAAATTATTTAGAATAGAGAGAGTTCTTTTGTATCTTGAAATAAACGTTACATTTTCATTTACTCCAGGATTTACTTTCTTTAAATTCTTCCTCGAGGCTGGGAGGTTGACTCCCTGCTCCTATGTTATTTTTTTCAAATATAAGCACCGAGAGAGATGTAGCACGAAACGAATCTTCCAGAAATAACTAATCGATATCTCTTGTCTGCTAACATCAAGCAGGGCACTGAATTGTTTAGCCATTTAAAGTATCACATAGAAAGAGAATAGTGACACAATTTACTTAAACACGATAACACTAAAATTATTGCTTTACCGACATTGTTTATCTAAACGAACGTAACTTTGAGATGTTAATAATAATAATACCAGAATATCACAAAAACACCAAGTATCCCAATAATAGCACAGTATCGAAAAATATCAAGTATCACAATAACATCAGAATATAACAGTAATACCAGAGTATCATATCACAATAACATCAGAATATAACAGTAATACCAGAGTATCATATCACAATAACATCAGAATATAACAGTAATACCAGAGTATCATATCACAATAACATCAGAATATAACAGTAATATCAGCCTATCATATCACAATAATACTAGCGTACAATAATAATACCAGAGTACAGCAATAATACTATAGTACAACAATAATACTAGCGTACAATAATAATACCAGAGTACAACAATAATACTAGAGTACAACAATAATACTAGCGTACAATAATAATACCAGAGTACAGCAACAATACTAGCGTACAATAATAATACCAGAATACAACAACAATACTAGAGTACAACAATAATACTAGCGTACAATAATAATACCAGAGTACAGCAACAATACTAGCGTACAATAATAATACCAGAGTACAGCAACAATACTAGCGTACAATAATAATACCAGAGTACAACAACAATACTAGCGTACAATAATAATACCAGAGTACAGCAATAATACTAGAGTACAACAATAATACTAGAGTACAACAATGATACTAGCATACAACAATAATATTAGAGTATTACAAGAATAGCAGTATGTTATTTGTTTTCATTTCACTTCTGTATGAGGCGTTTTTATCATTCCTCTTTGACAGCCTATATTCTGGCATCCTATTTGTACGATATTTAATGTGTAATAAAACAGATTATAATGATGATTATGGGAACGTTTTTACATCAAATTATTAAGTTTAATGATATAATGTCACAAGTATGTCTACTCTACAAGTGTTTGATTTTATATTTAACTTTGGAAAATACTTGTATATCGCTGTAAACCCCATTCAGTATCTCAAGTAATACGTGTAAATCTTTAAGTCATCCCTAATAATGAGATTACAGTAGCTGCCCGACAATTGCTCAGCTAAAATCCGGGTTTCAATACCTATGGTGGGAACAGCACAGATAGCCCATTGTGCTTAACAACAAACAAACTAAAACACAGTAGTTTCTTTATCTAAAACAGTTTCAGTCCCAGTTGTGGTTGGTAACAAATCCGGGTTTCGATACCTATGGCTGGTCACAATATATAGTCCCACCTTACGCCTAAGAGATATAAATCAATGCTAACATGCTGGCAGGAAACAAATTTATTGGCAAGAGCCAACTTCAAGGTTCGAAGCTTAAAGGATTGACATAAGGCCACTACCGTTAAGATTATAAAATCTAGAGTACAAGTTAAAACAAATGACCGTTTAAATGTATCACCATGTTCAGAGGTCAAGCAGTTACAACACGAATACTAGCGTAACCTCTTACCTATCTGGACTTCTATGACGTGCTCTGTCCGTTGGTGGATCCTCATACACCTGTAGCCCCGATTTCCAAACATGCTGGAAAACAGTAACAACAGCATATAACAATCAATATAAGAATTAGCTACTTGGCATTTAAGCATTAACTGAAACAAACAGGAAATTAGCTTATGAAGCTCTAGAAATAGCGTTGGAAAGAAATAAGTGTATAACATTTCCAAATTGTGATTTTTACCCATAAGTCAAGTTGTTGTTAGAAAGCGGCAAATTTACTGTCAAAGTCACTATTCATTCTCGTGTAATATATATATATATATATATATGTATTATATATATAAACAAAATATAATAACCAAAACCATATTACAACAGCTGTCACCATAATTACTGTCCACCATCGAAGAGTGTATCAACGTGAATGTTCATTATAAATTAAAAGATAACAATAATAATATTCTTTTAGGAAACACTACGAAACTATCTGTATGGTAATCTTAATTTAAGATCAGGTTTTTAGGGTAACTCACTCAATCTGTTATAACATGTTGTTGCGTATCTGCTTGTTTGTTAATTTCCGGTATTAATTCTTTCCGAGAAACTTCAGCGATACAAGTCCTTTCTTCATTAACCCAGTTTATCCTTCCACGATACAAACGTTGTAATACACAGTAATTTCACAGTGGGTACGTTTCTCGTCACTCTAAACTTAACAACTTTTATAACACACGCTATAAATCACAGTGCCTACTGTTCGCTTGACTCAATTATCTATCTGCTGCTGGCCTTCTTTGCCAGGCTTATATATATATACTAAAAAGAGAATCATCTAGATCACACTCAAGCTGGCGGGCAAAGTCATGATCCTTCGAGAATCTCCAGCACGCATGCTCCCAGCGTCGCGTGACTTCCGCTGTCGTAACAATATATATTACATAAACCATTTCTTAACATTGGTTTTGGTTTGTTTCGAATTTCACGCAAAGCTACACGAGGGCTATCTGCACTAGCCGTCTCTAATTTAACAGTGAAAGACTAGAGGAAGACAGCTAGTCATCACTACCCACCGCCAACTGTTGTTTGTAGATATATAGAATTGTTACGTGATACATATACCTCTCAATTATTATTGTTCCTCTGTAGGACAGCGGTAAGTCTACGAACTTACAACTCTAAAACCTGCGGTTCGATTCCCAGCGGTGAACACAGCAGATAGTCCAATGTGGATTTGCTGTAAAACAAAAAAGTATTTGCCAAAATAAACTAGTGAATAGGATAGGCTACAATTTCAAGCTCTAGTATACTATTTAGGCTTAGAGATTAATTCAAGGCAGTTTATACAAGTGTGTAACAGGAACATTAGTTGGTAATGTTAATATTTTCAGATGTATAGCCCGTTTTCATTTGTGTAATATGTTATCTTTATCTATTTTTCTGTTAAATTGTGGAAATTGTAACAAATGAGTTGTTACAATTACATTATACGTATGTTCAATAATTCCTTAATCTATTATTTCTCAGTAACTTTGTGAATCATCAGTTAATCCCAAACTTCTTAATAAAGTTGTGGATCACTTACTAATCCCATATTTCTCAGTAACGTTGTGAATGATTAATTAATACCTTATTCCTTAATAAAGTCGTGGATTATCTACTAATCCCATACTTCTCAGTAACGTTGTGAATGATTAATTAATACCTTATTCCTTAATAAAGTCGTGGATTATCTAGTAATTCCATACTTCTCAGTAACGTTGCGAATGATTAATTAATACCTTATTCCTTAATAAAGTTGTGGATTAGCTAGTAACTCCATACTTCTCAGTAACGTTGTAGATGATCGTTTAATACCTTATTCCTTAATAAAGTTGTGGATTATCTAGTAATCCCATACTTCTCAGTGACGTTGTAGATGCTCGTTTAATACCTTATTCCTTAATAAAGTTGCTGTCTATTTGAAACTTAGATTCATAATGAAGGCGATGTTTATTAATGAGGTTCTCCAAATCAATAAAGGTAATGTTTATTAATGAGGTTCTCCAAATCAGTGAAGGTAGTGTTTATTAACGAAATTCTTCAAATCAATGAAGGTAATGTTTATTAATGAGATTTTTCATGTCAATGAAGTCAGTGTTTATTAATGAGATTTTCCAAGTCAATGAAGTCAGTGTTTATTAATGAGATTTTTCATGTCAATGAAGGCAGTGTTTATTAATGAGATTCACCAAATCAATGAAGGTAGTGTTTATTAATGAGGTTCTCCAAATCAATAAAGGTAATGTTTATTAATGAGGTTCTCCAAATCAATGAAGGTAGTGTTTATTAACGAAATTCTTCAAATCAATGAAGGTAATGTTTATTAATGAGATTCTTCAAATCAATGAAGGTAGTGCTTATCAATGAGATTCTTCATGTCAATGAAGTCAGTGTTTATTAATGAGATTCTTTATGTCAATGAAGGTAGTGTTTATTAATGAGATTCTTTATGTCAATGAAGGTAATGTTTATTAATTAGATTCTCCAAGTCAATAAAGCTAGTGTTTATTAATGAAATGTTCCAAGTCAATGAAGGCAGTGTTTATTAATTCAAATATTCGTTATTAATACTACAGAATGAGGATGATGCCAGGTGTTTCAGTTTCACTTAGTTTTCTTACAAAGTTATTCAATACAGTCCAATGGCCAACACGCACGCCGTCCCGCCATCCACCTGAAGCTAACGAAGTAAATGCCGCTCCTGGAGCTGCCACCTTTATCTAGTTATATTGACCCACGTGTGTATTTAACACATAATTTATACTTTCATAAAGGCTTTTTATATTCTCCTACTCATGCAATTTAAAAGAAAATCCATCAAAAATAATTTGGGGTCTGTTTGTTTGTTTGGAATTAAGCACAAAGCTACATAATGGGCTATCTGTGTTCTGCCCACCACGGGAATCGAAACCCGGTTTCTAGCGTTGTAAGTCCGCAGACATACCGCTGAGCCATTGGGGGGCTTGGGGTCTGTAATACCTCTCAAAATAATTAGTTTATTGTTTGTTTCAAATTTTTTGAACATAGTTACACAAGAGCTATATTCGTATAGCCATCCATAATTTTCAACTGATCGACTAAAGAGAAGGCAGATGATCAACAGCTCCTACCGCCAACTCATGTGCTATATCGTACGCATTCTCCTCTTTGATAAACAAAGATAATAGATATATCACACAGTCACTCAAATAAATAAAATATTATAATGTGTAAATACAGAAAATTTATCCCAGTCCAAGAGGTTAAGTGCTAAGATGTGTATAATGCTGAAAAAATATTTTGAGTTAGGATGTGTATAATGCTGAACATAATTTGTATTAGGATGTGTATTATGTTGAACATATCTTCTATTAGGATGTATATAATGCTGAACATATCTTGTATTATGATGTGTATAATTCTGAATATATCTCGTGTTAGGATGTGTATAATGTTGAATATATCTTGTATTAGGATGTGTATAGTGCTGAACATATCTTGTATTAGGATGTCAATAATGCTGAATATATCTTGTATCGGGATGTGTATAATGCTGAACATAATTTGTATTAGGATGTGTATAATGTTGAACATATCTTTGAAACAAAAGATAATAAGGGTTATTTTGTATGTAAAACTGAACATATCTCTCACTTCAAGGAATTAGTGTTAGGATGTGTATAACGGTAAAGATATATCCTAGTCCTAAAGGTTAAGTGTTGGAACGTGTAGATGTTTAACACATCTCCTCCTTCAAGAGGTTAAGTGTTGAGATTTGTATTATACTGAACACATTTCTCAGTCCAAGAGGTTAGGTGTTGGGATGTATATTATATGGTTCAGTTGAAACACTTACCATCCTGAAGTTACCTGTACTGTCATCTCGTAAAGCGAATCCTGCAGTTTACTAATTCTATTACACGCCAGTCGGATGCTGTCGCCCTCCCTCGAACTATTTGACAGGTAAAATGACTTTAATTTGTGATCTGTGGTGAACAGTTTGGAGCCGTCCAGTGACTGCCAGTGGGAGAAGTCCATAAACCAGTGAGGGAAGCGGCATTTGGCTCCAGAGTCTCTCTCTGCACGACAAATATAACTTATGATCAATTTGATCTACAGGTGAGGGGCGTACAAGAAAAACGGTTAATTAATACCTTAAGAAAATCTCTGAATTATCTTCTGTGAACATTTGAAAAAAAGTTGTTTTTTTTACACATCAGAATAAAAGAGCTTGAACATTTGTTTCTTTGATTAAAATGAGATATTTTACTCAGTTTACATTTTTGTTTAGATTCCTACAGGTCTTTGTTAATTATTCTAAGTTTTTATTTTATTGCACTGCAATTGTTTGAACATAGAAGCTTCATATTAACTTAAAATTAATAAAACAAAACATAAGTTGTATCCATCTAATGTGCCAACGGATAAGAATTAATTCAACGAATGAGGGTTTGGAAAATACCACTCTAAGCTGGTCTTTGGGGCTAAGTTCCCATAAAAGAGGGGGGTGGGGTAGGGTCAGGGGCAAAACCAACGGACGTTCCGCGATAATGGAAAAATGTGTTTCCCAAATTTAGGAAGCTGTTATTTCCTAACATTTTGCTTTCATCATAATTTACTTAGGAAAATTTTTCAACGAAAAAACAAACAAACATGCATATATATGTATTATGCTTGAGGGTTGTACTGTCTTCTTCTATCGTTGTTATGGTTACTCGTCAATACGCACAGTGACAATTACGTAAGTAATTAAAAGTAATTCAGTCACTTAATGAGATTTCTGTTTATAACATCTTACAGCTGATATAATTCTAAGTATAAAGTGTTTTCTTAGACAAATTTAGCAAGTTACATTCTGCGAATAAAAATAGTAAAACAGCCAGATCCAAGTGTTCTCTCAGATTTTAATAAATTGAAAATAATTATATGCATTTATTAAGGTATTTAAATTAGAGAAACAGTGAGGTTTCATATCACGCGACCAACTCGTCTAAGAAACTGACAGCTGTTCCTTTGTGAAACTCAGAGGAAAGATTTCTGTAAGTTTTCTAGTCTGTTTAATTGTCAAAATTAACCAAGAATAGCGATAGCAATGAGGAAGAAACAGAGGCATATGCATGTAAGTACGGTACAGAAAATAGTTTTCGAATACGTTCTATAAATGTCCCACAATTTACTGAGCTATTATCTTTCGTTATGAAAACCTTACCACGAAAATAAACTCTTAGACTGCTGAAGTATATCTTCCGTTATGAAAAAACTACCTTAGAAACTCTTAGTTTGTTCAGTTATCAACTTTCGTTATGGAAAAAATACCTTAAAAACTCTCAGTTTGTTCAGCTATCAACTTTCGTTATGGAAAAAATACCTTAAAAACTCTCAGTTTGTTCAGTTATCAACTTTCGTTATGGAAAAAATACCTTAAAAACGTTCAGTTTGTTCAGTTATCAACTTTCGTTATGGAAAAAATACCTTAAAACTTTCAGTTTGTTCAGCTATCAACTTTCGTTATGGAAAAAATACCTTAAAAACTCTCAGTTTGCTGAAGCGTATCTTCCGTTATGAAAAACTGACCTTACAAAAACGGCTCATTTCACAGAGTATTTTTCTCAGACAATAAAACTTATAAAACACTTCTTCTTTCTGTATTTTTATATGTCCTTACAGGTAAGCTGTTATGCACTAAATTACAAACATCAGCAAATTATGCACTACAACCAAAAAACGTTTGTGGGACACCCTTGTAACTTAAATACAATTTTAAATGCTTTTATGTTAATTTGAAATTTCATTAATACATTCCTGTTGTATTTAATATATAGCTATCTAAACCACCCATTATAAAGGAAATATGAATACAGAAAGAAACTCGTATAAATAAACTTTACATAATTACAGATGGATCACAAGACTGGATGTGTAGTCAGTTAAATCTTAAACGGGTCTGAGGCAGTTACTGATATCAAACATGATTGAATATAGTGTAAAAAAATTACAATAGATGAACAAACATGAATTAATACACAATGTTTCGCTCCCTTTAAGATTTATCGGTTATGGGCGAACATTGCTGAATATATAATAAGATAAATCTTAAAGGGCCTGGGATAGATAGCTTTATATTATTGTAATAAAATATGTTGGAAATATTTCGTTTTACTTTTAGGTCATAAAATAAAAATAATGCCCACCGGTGGTTCAGTGGATAGAACGCAGTTAGCTCATTGGGTAGCTCTGCATTAACAACAAACAAGCAAAAAATACTCACCACTTCTGATTAGTGTCATAGTTCGAGATCCCTCCGTGGCAGAAAATAGCCCATCACATGTTGCGTCTCCTGATTGGGCAACCTGATAGCCAGATTCATTTTTAAGCTTTTCGTACACCTATAGTTGTACAGAAGAGTTCAGAGATAAGAAACATTTTTATAAAGAGTCTTCGGCTAAAATACAAATCAGCGTTTTTTGATGCACACATAAAGAAGATGTAAAAATATATGAAGAAGTTGTTTAACGAATTTGCTCGTGAAAATTTAACGTATTAGCACTTACTAACGATTATAGCGCAAAATATTATTATTTGTGTAAAAACGTTCAAAACGGAGTGTCAAGATAACTTATAAAGGATGATCTTTAACAAAGTGTCGACACCCAGTGGATATTAGCAGGATGATCTTTAACAAAGTGTCGACACCCAGTGGATATTAGCAGGATGATCTTTAACAAAGTGTCGACACCCAGTGGATATTAGCAGAATGATCTTTAACAAAGTGTCGACACCCAGTGAATATTAACAGGATGATCTTTAACAAAGTGTCGACACCCAGTGGATATTAACAGGATGATCTTTAACAAAGTGTCGATACCCAG